ATAGCGATGGCCTCCAACCTAATAGCGATGGCCTCCAACCTAATAGCAATGCACAACAATGCAATTTTCAAACACTTGGATAACAAAAGTCGTATCGAACCTCTGAGTTCCATCTGATGCCAGCACGAGGGTCTCCTGCTGAAGTCCCTGCACACGGAGTTTCGCTATCGGGTGCAGAACAGCATCTGACGGAATTTGTGCAAGCAAGTCCTGAGTGCTGCCAGAATTCCAGGCCAAAGTTCTGCAAAATATAACATGTTATATCATATTGTTATATTATATTGTTGTAGATCGGTGATTTGACGGGAGTGTATGACCTCCTTGGTGCAGCTGATGACGATAAATGCATATGGTGGAAGGTACACGAATAAGGTTACTTAATGCGCGAGAAGTACCTTTTGTCAATTATCTCGTGTCGTGGACATGTTCGCTGTGATTCTGTGTGGGTCCTTTCACTCTGCAAAAACCGATGCTTAGGCCAAATGTGAAGTCCGACCTGCCAAAGACGAACTTGGAATACAACAAAGGAAAGCTAACTATACAGCGACGTTTAAATGCCAACCGATTGGAGAGCTCCGATTGCTCCCAGCCACTTGGAAGGAAATTCCTCACATGAACCTCCCTCAAAGCCAACAGTGCTCATGAAGGCACTTTCCGTATCAGGGAGAGTTTGTGCGGGTAGCTAAACGGGCCTTCAAGTAGACCGGAGGTGTGGAACCATGGCCAAGGGGACCAAGAACAGGATGGAGGGGTGGAACGAAGGTTTGAACCAGAACCCTAAAAGAGCAACGAAGGTTTGAGTTAGATTGAGTTGCTCTGCGGCTACGCGTGATTCTTGCTGAAAAAGACGATGACAAGCGACTCCAGCCACGATCAGCCATCCTTCGTGGTACAAGTGGCTAGCGCTGACGCTGCTACTCAGTCCACAGTCCAGCATGGTCTGTTTTTGCATCTCGGTGAAACAGGTCAGCGCCTGTTTCGGCTATATACTATGTCTCGGCAATCAAAACGTCTGCTTCGGTAATCAACTCCTTTGTTTCAGTAGCCAAAAGGGATGTTTGGGCAACCAAAAAGTCTGTTTTGCTAACCAAAGGGTCTGTGTCGGTAAAGAAAAGGTTTCGCTTGGAAACTTAAATCATCAACTTGGGCAACTAATGTAAAGAAGTATTATAATATGTTATTCAAGATTTAATGCTCAAGCTGCCAGCGTTCTTTTTTGTGGGACGAGACCCGCTTCGCGTGTTCATCCTGGTGGTGAGGGCAACATCAGCTTTCGTTTGTCGTGCTCGATGAAGACATTCGGACGATCGTTTGAGGACATGATGAGCCACACCCACCGAATGTGTCTATATATATAACATTATATAACTATAACATATCTCTCGTTGAATGACAGTGCTGCGAAATTGATGACAATGTTGTGACTCGTTAGTTGCTGAATGCTTGGTTGAAATGGTCAATCCACGTGGCCTGAAGCAGATCTGGCAGCTCTTCCACAAAGAGCCAGTGCGGCGTTTCCTCGTGAAGATTCGTGACGTCTCGACTGAAAACGCGTCTCGTGTCGACTCGTGTCGGGTGCGAGATGGTCGGGCTAAGGCCCCTAAGGCCTCGACCCGCTTCAGTGGTTCTTTCGGTTCCTTCGGTTCCTTCAATTCCTCTCGCTTCGGTTCCCTCAGAGGAACTTTCAACACCGCAGTGTTCTCCACAATGCCGCCATCATTTCCCTTCATGAGCAAGAAATGTGAAGATCCGACTTAGGTGTCGGGCTTCTGCCGCATTCGCTTGGCAGGTGGATAGTAGGCCTCTTCCTAACCGGATGCAGCGATCATCTTGAGCAGTGTCACTCGACAGCTATGAAAGAATGAAGAACGTTGCTGCGGAAGACAGCGTTGGCAATTCTATGGGGCAAGGAACTACGCCATCTCCATGACTAGTGGATGCCACTAGGTTTGATGCATTGAAATCGGCCTCGCCCTCTGCTTCCACATCCTCAAACTCCTGGAGTGGCAGTGAATCATAAAGTTGAAATCAAATGACATCAATTGAGTTTTCATCGGCCTCGGCCGCCTCCGCCTGCGGATCTTTCGATTCTTCAAACTCTTCAACCTTTGGAGACTCGATGTCGGCCACCTGGGCCTCATTTCTTTGAAGTGAATCCAGAAGGCAGGTAGGTCCGAGGCCATTGCTATTAGGTTGGAGGTCATCGCTATTAGGTTGGAGGCCATCGCTAGTAGATGCTAGTAGGGTGGAGGCTATCGCAGTTTCTGGCCTCCACAGCTCCAGCCTTCGCTTTTGACAGGAGGTCATCTATAGCCTCATCTGTCTCTTGAGGCACCTGGTTTGACTCAAGTGGTCTGCGCAAATTCACTGCCGCTTTAGATCACGGCACCGAGCAAAGCTTGTTGATAAATGCTGATAGACAGTACACCTTAAAAAGTGGCAAGAACCTCAAACAGAAACGAGCAGGAAGAACAATGTCTGACAAACACAGTCACACAAATTAAATAGAGGGTACAACATTGGAAGCTAAATCCCGTTTATGATAGAAACAAACAACAAATAAGTTGAATCTCGATATCTGGAGACTTTGTGGCCTCAGCTTCGCCACTTTGGTGCTCCCCCTGAGTCAAGAAAGGCCCATGTCATCATCTTTCAGAACAAAATGCATAATGTCACCTTGAAGCCTTGCTCGTCTCTGCAAAGTCATCATCGTTCAGCTCAAACATGCGGGATATGCCTGACATTTCCCATCATTTTGTTCTTCTTCCTCTTGAACATCTTCCTGAAAGGGCCCACACCATTACTGTCTTGTGTCTCGATTGATCCAACGTCCAAGCTTTCAACTGAACTAATCCGCATGCAGGTCACTTTCTCTTATGCACTCTACAGGCTTACCTATAGGCAGAAGGAAGAAAATCTAGACAAGCTGTTCAAGGATGGCTTTGCAACGGTCCTCATATGCTCCTAGAGGTTCCTTGTGCTCGTTGCCACTCTCGTTGCCCCAAGTGGCCTCCAATCTCTCAGGGTAGAAAACAATGAAACATCTTAATAAGCACATTATCTTGTGAAGAAGTGGATTCATCAGAAGGTATTTACAAAGTTGTCAAAGTTGCAGAGCTCGGCGAACGAAGTCCGAGGCAAACGAAGAACGAAAGGACGCGAACGCGTCCCGCGGCCGTGCCTATTTTCACAGGCGATGCCCACCCATCTTGAGTGGATCGAGTTGCGGAAAGGGAGAACGGCTCGACCGATCATGCTCAACTCAAGTGCTCAGCGTGCACTTTACACAGGAGGAGCGTTATTCAGCTCTCAAGCATGCGGCTTTCAAACCGGTCGAGCCAAGCTAGAACCAAGGTCCTCATTGATGCACCAAGGTTCTGGTCCACCAAATCTGGCGGAAGGATGCGCATGCTACACAAATTGCAAGCAGGAATCAGCTGCTGGTTCTGGGTGCTTCTTCCTTCGAGGGATGTGCAGTGTCGGGTCGTGTGCCAGCGGTAGCCATGTCTTGTGACCCAGATCTGCTGGTAGAAGGGGCATTCATTTGAATGCACGTCCATCTGCCGAAGTGCTTGGCGCAGGAGGTCGGAGGCCTCATTCAGCAGGCTTTCGGTGCCATGTTGTTCGGCCATGATCAGGTCGATGGACGCTCGACTCTCGAAGGCAGAGCTACGATACTCAACGGCGCGCTCGCGCCAAAGTGCAGCTTCTTCCTTGGCTTTCGCAAGCTCTTCCCGTAGTCGACTGTGGATCACAGGCTCATCTTTCTGGACTTCTGCGTCGGCTGTTGTGAGGTGTGGGAGTGAGCGCACTTCGTTGGACCATCGGCCCATGAGGTAAGCAAGGCTCAAGACCATGCAGAAAAAAGTGCAAAGTGCAATGCCAAACACATCAGCTTCTTCTTTCTTTTCCATTTCAACTTCATGTCCGGAAGCCAGGAGGGGCAACATGAAAATCAACCACAGCCAACGAAGGAAATTCTTCGAGCGACAGGTGTTGTCTTTGTCCATGCGGCAGCGGGCGACATGGCAGGACCTACGGAACACATAGGTCAGCTGGTCATTGGTCTTTGCCATGAGGACATTCGGAGTGGCGGAGTGGCCTGCTCATACCAAGACACGGGCTCATCCATTTCAATCTCCTTCATGGCGAGCTTGTTGTCAGCTGGAGTGTGCTCTGAACCATCGTTCTCTGCTGCTGGGGCGGCAGGTGGTTGAACATGTTCATGAACACTCTCCATGCGACTCTGAAGCAGCTCATCTTTCGTCTTTTTCTTGGCGGCCTTGTAGGTTGGGTCCCAAACCAACTTCAAGCGACCATGCCGAAGACGTTGAGCTAACAACAGGCGAGCTGACTCTTTGGTGAGGCCATCAGCAAACTGCCTCTCCGATGACATCCACCTCAAAGTGCCCCCCAAGGATGTCAACCTGTCTTTCATGACCTTGATCTCCAGGGAGACTCTTTTGTCAACCACTGAACTGGAAACTCCCTCCCTGTGATAGGAGTCGAACAAGGCTTTTGCGTCGGTGATCATCACCGGGGCCAACATCGAAGGAGCATCGAGGGTCCGCTTCAGACCTTGTTGTGGATCTACAAGTAGGCTCCAGTAGATGCTAGCATGCCCCAAAGAATGACATGCTTGCCCACCGCTCTGCGCCTCGACAGCCAGGGAGGATCTTGCGACCCGTGGCGTTTTCATCGAACGCCAGTCCAACACGTGGTAGGCCCCCTCAGGACCATCTGCTGCCAACAGCTTCTTGTTGAGGAGCAGGATGATGTAGCCAGCTTGGGACGCTCCGTCGCTTCGAGCAGCGAATGCAGCATCAAAAAAACATACCATGCTCAACTCCTCAACTGGTCCAAGGTGCTCGTAGTGGAGGCCGACATCGGCATGCTCCTTGGCAAAGCGCAGCAAGCGGTTGGTGTCAGACACCGTTTGCAAACAAGCTTTTGTGACATGTCCGCTCAACAAGGAGGTGCTGCTCTGTAGGTGAGGACTTGATTGAACAGCCGGCCACTGCAAGGATCCCAGCAGGCCACGCAACTGCGTGAGCTCACGCTGGTTCAAGGCGTCCGTGAGGTCGCGCTTTCGGTCAAAAGTGATGGGTTTGACCTTGCTCATGTAGCTCGTTTGGTTGAGCTTGTAGCTGCCATTGGTGTCGATGTGGATGTCGCAGCCACAGTATGTGAGGGGCTTTCCATCATCACCAGTCTTCCACTCACGGAAGGAAAACGAGCTCTTGAGCTTTGCGATGGTGTCTGCATAGCAGGTGGACGTAGGTGAACCGCAGCCCAACATGTCATCAACACGCATGATCACAAGGCCGCACAGGCCGTGGGCTCCAAGCAGGTTCTCGTTGGCGGCAGTGGCGTCATACTCAGGGTTGAGGTCGCCTTCGTACATCAAAAAGCAGCAAGGGTCCAAGGGGTGTTGTTTCAATCCCATACCCTTCAACTTGTCAACTGCAGCCATGTACCAGGCTCGAGGTGCATCGATCTGGCCGTAGCACGGCTTCAACAAGAGCATTCTCGTCTCAGGCGAGGCTCCCAAAAGCTCCAGACATTCGTTGGGAAGTTGTACCCACAGTTTTCGAGTCTGTGGCTTGCCCTGAAGAAAGGCCGTGGCAATGTCTGATGTCCAGATAGGCCATGACATAGTTGCAGCCAGGCTGAGGAGCATAGACCTCGACAGTCTGGTAGTGGTCGGAGATGAGGTAGGCACGGTGCCTTCCCAGGCGTCAGGATCTTGGAATCCTCTAACGATCAGGCGAGCTTTGGCTCGAGGAGAGCCATCAGGATGCTTGGACCATTTCAGTAGCATCCGGCTTGTCAATGTACGGCTCGGCTCAGCTTCACGAGTGGTTTCGAACTGCCAGACCTGGTTGTCAAAGAAGCTCTGGAGTTCCTTGACTTTTGCGGCTTTGAACTGTGCTCTGTCGTCCGGAGTCATGTGGCGCTCCGACAAGTTGCTTTTGTTCTTGTCCTTCTTGAAGGTCTTGGCATGCTGTTGCTTAGCCAGCTTGCCCAATTGGCGTGCTCCTTGCAGAGGTGCTTTGGCATACATAGCCAGTTCTCGTCGAAGATCGCCCTTGATCTGGTAGATGGTGAGTCCAGTCCAGGCACGATCAGAAGGCGTGCTGTCAGAGCCATCATCGGTCTGTTGGATGCTCTTGCCATTGCGGTCGTACATCACAGTCACCCGGACGTTGTCGAGTTGGTTTTGGCTGTATGGAGCATCTTTGGGAAGACCGTGAAGGCAAAGCTTGTGACGTCGTGGTACTAGATGATGTCTTATCATGCATCCAGCTTTGATCTCCCAGAAGTCCCGTGGGCGCTTGTCCAAGATGAAGTAACCATCCTGGAACAGCCAGCCTTGAGGTAGGCCTTGGGCTTCGAGCTCATTGACCTGGAAGGCGTGGTTCAGGAGGGCATGCTCTGGTGCTTGTTCTGCAGCTGTGATTTCGGGATCTCTCTCAGCAGTTGGTGTTTCGCCAGTAGGCGATAATGCTGTGTCAGTTCTGGGCGGTGGCTCAGGATCATATGGTTGTGGACCCTGTGTTCGCTGATGTCGAACTGGGCGGAAGCTCAGTGTTTCCTGTCTGTTGAACCTGTCTCTTCTCTGGTTGAAGGTCTCGGCATCAACTGTCTCATAGAGGGATGCCGTGTCTGGGTCCAAGGTTGGTCTTGGAATTGGAGCCGGGGTCTCAGGTGCAGGTTCAGCCATTGGAGACTGGCGTCCAGAGGGAATCGTAGGTTCCTCGCTTGGCTCGACAATCGTCGGGGCTCTTGAGCGAGATCTGGAAGTGACAGCTCCAGGAGACATGGGTGCTGTCAATGGTGGAGGTGCCTGTGGTATCTCTGGGGGTCCTGGCACTGCTGGTGCTTGCTGAGGGGATGTCGGGGCATACCCGGTGTCAGCGGGTGAGGTGGTGCTCGGACCATTGTTGTCCGGAATCTCGAGTCGTAGACGATGTCGTGGTGGTTCATCATCTTCATCATGAAGAGGTCCATTGAGATCATCCTGCTGTTCATCTTCCTCCACATCATCTAGCTGTTGACGGTTGGATCTTCGGAGGTCATAGTAGCGGGTGACTCCGCGAGACTTGAGCTGCCTGACGGTGTTCAAGGCGGCTTGCATGTCGTCCAGGACATGTTGAGGACCAAGGATGTCGCCACGGACATGGTGAGGTGCAGCGCGAACCAATTGACTCTTGTATGCCAACCAGTAGGTCCTGATCTTGGCGGCATCGGTGGCAGCATCAGGATCCTCTTCACGAAGCGCAACATGTGCAGGACCGAGCCATCGAATCTTGTTCAATGCTCCTTGTCGGGCATCTCGCCAGAACCACAGGCGTTCACCAAGGCGAAAGACACGGTTCTGACCTTGGTACCTTCTGCTCAATGCTCGGCGAAGCTTGGAGTCAGCGTCAGCGCTGGTTAATGCCAGCTTGGCAGCAGTTCGACGCTCCAGGTTCTGCTCAAAGGAGTGGTTGTTGCCGGCGAGCTGAGCAGCATTGAGGTTGGAGTCGAGGAGGTGTGTCAACTTGCGGTCTGTCATGTAGACCTCACAGGCTCTGCGGATGACGGCATGTCTCCTTTCGACCAAAGCCAGTCGTTCGTGAGCTTCACCAGGGGCCACTTGATGATCAATGCCCAGTGCACTGGTCCAGTTTTCGAATGGTCCTCCAAGCCGAGGACGTCCCTCGTCAGTGATGAGGACTCGAGGTGAACCGAAGTGACGGACCCATGTCTTCTCCAGGGCCTTGATGTAGGAGTCAGAAGTCTCCTCAGGAACCCAGCAGGCTGCCATGTACTTGGTGCCAACATCGACGATGCTGAGAACGGCATACTTGCGGTCAGCAGGCTTGAGATAGAAGACATCGGCTTGGATGGCCTCATTGAAACTTCGCTGTTGTGGCATTGCGGATGGAGCCACTTGGTTTGGCTTCTTGTGCTTGAGACAAGCAACGCACTTGTACTCCTTGGCGGCAGACACCACAGAAGGATGAGCTCCACGAGCCAGCAACAAATCAGCTAAGGCCTCAGGCGCTGGATGGCCCAAGTTGCGATGCAGTCGTTGGACAGTAGGAAGGGCATCTTGTCGATGTTCCGACTGCAACTTCAAGAGGTGTCCTGTGGCCTTCTTTTCGGAGGCATCAACCACAAAAGCAGCATCCCACAGTTGCGCAGGCTCAGGTTGAGCAATCGCTGCAGCCAAGGTGGCGGCAAAGGCGGGCTGGTAGTCCTCGAGGTAGGTCGTGCGAGGACCATAGCCGGGAGCCGCTCCTTCAAGTGGACAATGTTGATAATCGTGCTCACACTTCAAGTGCAGGGCAGCCAGAACGGACTTCTTGGTCGTCAACATCCTGGTGCTCTTCTGCACTGGCCTCCATTGCCCGTCCACGTCCATGCACATAGCTCCATAGCGACATTGGTCAAAGTCGGCGTTGTAGCCAGGTAGTGCTTTCAGTGCTTGGGTGTGCCAGCTGAGAGCATGACGTGGTTGTTCCAGGTGTGCATGACGCCCATGACTGACCTGCTTCAGGAACACTTTCTTTGCGAAGGTGAGGTGCCGTCGATGGTGATGTTCACGGCGGGCCACAAGAGCTTCTTGCTGTGCGGCTGTCCTGCAGGCAAGGGTTTGCATGCGAGCCCAAACTTTGCATTCAGGGGCAAGTAGAACTTCATCAGGCTCTTCAGCGTCCAGGCGCTGCAAGAACTGAGCTTGGTGATGCTTCAGATTGAAGTCCCAGCCAGTTTCCAGTGAGAAGCGCTCGACCTTCATACCCATCTCTTCGGCGAGGTGGCCAGTTCGAGCTTTGCCGCAGTAGACCTCCCACAGCACTTTCTGATTTGCTGTTGAGGTTGGATGTAGTTCACTGGTGATGTAGGCCTCAGTGGCGTTCACGGTGGTGGTCAACTGAACCTCCATAGTGCGAAGAGTGTGCCGGTGCAATACAGGAAGCTCAAGGCCATTGTCGGCAAGGATCTGGTCATTCGCTGTGAAGATGTGCTCCAAGTCGTTGAAGTCGCTCAGATGCAGGTGACTGCCAGGAACCTCTTCTGCAATCTGCAGGGCGAACAGTGACTTGGTTGGCTCAGGAACATGCTCCATGCCGTTGGTGAGGCTGAGAAGGTATTCACCATGCCTGCCGACCAGAACTGGATGCCATGGCGAACTGCCGAAGCGGATCTGCTTCTGACTGAAGTCAATGCCCATCTGGAGAGCTTCAATCACCGGTCTTCCCATCAGCGTGGGAGTGTTGCCAGGAACCAAATAACACTGGATGGTGCCGAAGCGGTCGTCCAGCATCACAGGAAGGTCTACCGTCCAGCAAGCTTGAGATGAGGCGTCACCGCCGAAGTGGAACTGCCTGTCACAGCGGGCAAACCGGATGGTGTTGACCGGGTAGTTCAAGGAACTCAAGTGGTCCAGGTAGCGCTTGAACGGTCCATAGCCGCTGAGGAAAGCTGAAGCACCTGGGTCCAACATTGTAGCATCAGGGCGTTCTTCACCATGTTCATCTTGGAACAGGACCAGGGCCTTCTCGGCGTGTACAGCCATTCCTTCGGTAGTGGTCGTCGAAGGAGCCGGTCGCTTGTTGGGAGATGATGAAGACCGTGCTGACTGAGGGCATTGTGCAGCCCAATGACCAGGTTGGCCACAGCGAAGACACGTCGTGGCCTGAGCTCGGCCCTTTGGATCACCAGCTTTGCCACCACTTGAGGGGTAGCGCGCGATGTTCTTGCCATAGCCCTTGTGCTTGTTCTTGGACTTACCTTTGCCCTTGGCAGAACTGCGGTCTTTTCCTTTCGGTGAGGAGGAGCCGGCAGCAACTGGCGTGGCGGTGTTGGGCCACAACGGGAAGATAGCCTCGAGCCAGTTTCAACTGTTGGAACGTCTGCCGGGCGTCCAGGTAGGTTGCATAGGCATGATCATATTGTTCAGCGAGTTCATGAGGTTCTTCAGCTGGTTCACCATACTCATCACATGGCTCTTCTTCACCATAGTAACCAGCGTCATAGTCAAAGGCGTCCTCCTCCTCAGGCATGTAGTCGTCGACAGCCCATTCATCGGCCTCGTAGTAGGCACCTTCATCGTTCCATGATGCCTCGACAGGCCATTGACCATCATCTTCATCGAAGGCGGCGTAGCCCTGCCTTTCCAGCGGGACAGTTCGCGATCTCGGTCGTGGTTCCAGCCTCCCGCTTTATAGTCTTGGCCGTAGAGGAGGTAGAGGGCTTCGATGACATTCTGTTTCTCAAGGGTCGGAGCTTTCAAGGTCACCATTTGGCGTTGCTCCCGTGTCAGGCCTGCTCTCCGAAGCAGGTGCCACCCTTGAACTTGTCCAGGAAGGGAGACGTTGTGAGACATGAGCTTGCGGTAGGCCGTGTCATACTCCGTGATGTAGGCCAAGAGGCTCTGCTGCGGCTTCCTCTGAAGCAAGTTGAAGTATTCCTCGAAGTCATTTGGAAGAAGGACCCTGTCGTCATACTCAAAGTTCTTGTCCAACTTCTCGAGGATCTTGCTGAAGGCGTCGCCCTTCTCCACATCTTCGATGGGGAAGTCCTCGAACAACTTCCAGGTCACCCCGGTGTTACTGCCGATGATGTTGAGCACTGATTCACCAGTTCTCTTTCTGATGACCATCTTCTTGTGATACAGGTTCAACCTCTTTCGGTACTCACGGTAGTCCGAGGGCTGGTTCGAGAACGGAGGGACATAGGAGTCGCGCAGGCTGAGCGTGTCACCATCCTTCGCGGTGGTGGATGCTGATGCCATCGTACCAAATCTTCAACAGAAAAGTGGAACCACAGCCAAAGAGCTCGGCCACGGGGAAACAGTAGAGCTCGGCAGCGGGTAGGTGACGATGGGCTTATTCAGAACCCCGTTCGTGAAGACGCAAAGGATGCTGGAGCCCCAAATCTGGGGCTCCGCTACCAATGTCAAAGTTGCAGAGCTCGGCGAACGAAGTCCGAGGCAAACGAAGAACGAAAGGACGCGAACGCGTCCCGCGGCCGTGCCTATTTTTACAGGCGATGCCCACCCATCTTGAGTGGATCGAGTTGCGGAAAGGGAGAACGGCTCGACCGATCACGCTCAACTCAAGTGCTCAGCGTGCACTTTACAAAAGTAGAAAAGAGCGTTCACGGTTCTTGCCTGGCTGTAACCATTGGTCTTCTTCCGGGTCCATTGCCTGCTCCACTTCTGTCGGCCTTGGAACAATGAAACTGTGATCAGTTGAGATATGTTTTTGACATTTGGATCTAATTTGGAATCGCAAAGTTGATCAATTTCCAATACACATGAGGATGCTAAACGATTACGGCAACTAGGAGGCCAAGGGGGGAACGCCCACCGGATGAAGCTGCAGGCGCTGGCGAAGATTCCTGAACGCAGTGCAAGCGCGCTCTACATTCAATACATGGAAGTAAGCCTTCGTGCCTCGACATTAATTCTTGCTTTCTGGCAGAAATCTTTGAAAGATGGATTCCTCCGAAGGAGGGAGTCCAATAATGTGCAAATATCCGTTGGCAAAATGTGCACACTGCCTATAGAAAGCTTCATCAATTGGGGTGTTGGGCATTGCAGCCAAGGCCACGCACAACGCAAGCCTGGGCCGCCAGTGAAATGTGGAAAGCGCGAGCATCACACATCCAAAATCATCAAACTAGTCACTCCAAACACATCGAAAAAATGGAACTCAGTACTGATTGAGATTCGTCAGGCTTGAAACCGCTCTTCAGTAAGACTTCATATAAAAAATTGCGTGGGATCATACGCGGGATCTCGAAGTCTGCTCTTCACTCTTGTCTCTCCTTGTCTCCCATGGCATGTCTGGATGCTGGGTTGAGACCCATGGCATGTTTGGATGCTGGGCTGAGATGATTTTGCTTTGTTTCCCTTCGCCCCCCCTTGTCTCCCATGGCGTGTCTGGTTGTTGGGCTGGGATCACTTTGCTTTGTCTCTCCTTGTCTCCCCTTGTCTTCCATGGCATGTTTGGACGCTGGGCTGAGATGATTTTGCTTTGTCTCCCTTTGTCCCCCCTTGTCTCCCATGGCATGTCTGGACGCTGGGCTGAGATGATTTTGCTTTGTCTCCCTTCGTCTCCCATGGCATGTCTGGATGCTTGGCTGAGATGATTTTGCTTTGCCTCCCTTCGTCTCTCTTTGTCTCCCGTTGTCTCCCATGGCATGTCTTGGGATCACTTTGCTTCTGGATGCTGGTCCCTTCGTCTCCCCTTGCTCCCATGGCGTGTCTGGATGCTGGGCTGAGATGATGTTGCTTTGTCTCCGTTCGTCTTCCCTTGTCTCGTCTCCCCTTCTCTCCCATCCCACCTCTGGATGCTGGGCTGAGATGATTTTGCTTTGTCTCCCTTTGTCTCCCCTTCTCTCATGGCGTGTCTGGATGCTGGGCTGAGATGATTTTGCTTTGTCTCCCTTCGGTGTCTGGACGCTGGGCTCTTTGCTTTGTCTCTCCTTGTCTCCCCTTGTGGAGACATGGCATGTCTGGATTGTCTCCCATGGAATGGATTGGCCAAAACAGAAAAATCCGACTGCCGCTGCTGTTTTGGGGTTGGTGCCGGTGTAATTTTTTTGAAGCCCCCGTGTCCTCTCTTGGGCTAGAACCTTGCAGCTTGCAGTCTCTTGCGCTGCTGACCCGCCATGCCTACCTCAAAAAAACAACTGCAACGCTCGAAGGCACGCGAGCAAATTGAACTCGCGCCAAGCAACTTCGGAACAAATCATAAACTGTTGCCATGACAACCTACAGCGCCCGCACAGCGGCTAGGACTCCAGCAGCCCAAATCGAAAGGGCCGGACCTGAGCTAGTTCTGAGGGGCCCTTCGCCTCGTGACCCCTTCTCCATTCTGATTCTAAGGCTTCCGCAAACTGCCAGGCACATGGCCAACTCTTCATAGCCCGCGTCCTTCGCGCACTTCCCGACCTGGCTGCCCGCTACACCTACAATATCTACAAAATCTGAAGGCTTCAGTTTCAAAGGCTGGAGTGTTGACCCCCGCCACCATGCTTGGAGACTTCCCAAAACACGGAAGTAAGAATGCTGTTGGTATTAGTATGGGACATGTTAAATAATAAGCCACGACGCGACCTGCGTGTGGTTTCGTCTCCACTAGTTCAAGGGCCCTGAGTTTGCGCAATGTGGTTCTATACAAGCTGCTGACACAGCCATCGTGGCATGTAGCGATCCATTGTCTTTTTTGGTTGGGCCACGACCTTGTCTCAAGCTTGGCAGCTCGGCAACTCAGTCCCTAAGCCCTTATGTTGCACTTTTCGCATCATCTCCTTGTGGCATTCCTCGTGCCAGTTCAGGGCTCGTGATTCCGCTTGGAGTGTTGCTCTGCACACTCGCTTGAAAGTCGAAGAGCGCCATTAAGTTCTCCGGAGGCATGATGTCTGCCCGCCCTGCGCTTCGATGTGCGTGGTGTAGTCCGGGTCCCGGGTGAAGCACCCTCCAAGAAGTATCGGAATGATTCGGAATGATCCCTTCTCAACCTTGCCAACTGAGAATGATTGAGAATGTGTCCGCCCTTCCCTTGGTCCGAAATGAGCAGCCAAAAGGTTGTCCACGTGAGCGCAGTTCAGCGCAATGATTTGCCAGCGTCGGTCCACTTGTAGTAGGTTGCAGGGCGCATCTTGGAGACTTGACTGGCAGCAAGAATTACTGCCTTCATCCTCGAGTAAGCACCTCGTCCTGCATCTTGACTTCCGTAGATGGGAACTCTGCGCATGAGCACTGCATCCCCTGGAGTCTCACAGTCCAATTCCACTTATGATTTAATCCTTCACATGGCTGCCCCATCAAAAGGAGTCAGCACATCTGGGAAACGCAAGGAACTGGGTTTTGCGTGGAGGTGCAAATGAAGCAAGCGTGTGATGTGACTCCGGTTCACTGGTTGGTGATTCGCAGCGCGCGTGGCCTTCTGCAATACGGTCAAAAATGCAACATGCCACGAGCCGTCCCTTGTAGATAGGTTCAAAGCCTCCTCGCCCAGTGTCTCATGTCATCTCCCCGCCCACTGGGACAACGCCGCTGAAGTCCTTTTGCTTCTTCCACTCCTTGCTCTGGCTTCAACCATGCCTTTCCTTGCGGCCTCGTCGACATTCCTGACGTTAAGGGCCCTCTAGCTTTTTCACTGTGCTCCTTGAATTGCTTGCAGCGCTGAGCCATGCAAGCTCCAGTCTCCTCAGTAGCGCTCAACGACTCCATGGCTTTTGTGCAATTTCTGAAGATGGCGAAACCTGTTCACGGTCGAGGCACGCTTCCGTCCGCGATCTTGCTGCGCCCGCGACAACTGAGTTGATTCATAGGGCTGAGGTCACGGAGCCTTGTTGCAACATGTTCGTTCATTCAACCAATATGACATCACCCTCCAAGGCTACGCACCGCGCACTTTTGCTCCACTGCAAAATATTGGAGCTCCCTCATGTAACAACAACCAACCAAAGTCCTCAATGAGGGCCATGTCCATGACTCGGCACGCAGTAGAACACTGTGTTCCTCCTTGCTGTCTCTCTCTCCTGTGCTCTCCTGTGTGCTGCCGCATTCTTTGTCAAAGCGCGTGCAGCTCTTGTCGAAGTGTCCAAATGAACAACTGCACGCTGCGCACTCATCCTTGCTCGACGACAAAGTGAAGTGCAGCACTCTGACCAGACTTGCTGGCCTGGTCCTTCAGCTCAGCCATCTTCTTCTTAACCTTCTGGCTCGTGAACTCCATACGTGCTCTGATCCGCTCTTTGTTTCCAGTGAGGTCGAGCCGTGGGTCGAAGATCTGACATGCAGCCCTGCAAGGACATTGCTCCAGTCACGCGCACACAACTCAACCAACCAAATTCAAACAGTGGTCAGCTAAGCTGCCAAACACGTACCAGATTGAATCTCGACACGACTCGTATGTTTTCACTGCACTAGCTCAAGGGCCCTGAGTTTGGAGCCCAAGCCAAAGGCGCAGTCGCAACCGGGTTCTATACAAAGCTGCTGACACAGGCTAGAATCATCACACTTGTATGGACTAGGGCCTGCGACAAACCACGCGGTAATCAAAGAACCAAAGTTGTCAGTGAACCAAGCAACTAGATTAACTGGCAATCATAGATCCGGGCAGGCAAAACAAATGTTCAACCAGCCTCTGGAAACTGGGACCAGTCCTCGCAACGGAACATCATTCACGTACGGCGTGTGGCTGAGACACTTTCAATTATCTGTCACTAGTCACTAGCTAATGCCCTGCACTTTTGAACAGAAAATTGGTCTTGGGCAGTCAACTGCACATGTGACATTACAGCCGAACATGTCGCAATGGTTTCAAGATGTTTCAAGCTTTCCAGAAAAGTGACTATGATTATGATCTGCCCAAGGTGCATGGTCGTGCTGAAAAGTGATGTTGTCAAACCTGGGTGAAATGTGCAGGCGCGAACACAAAACATCTCAAGTCTAATTCTACCTTTAAAGGTCCTAGGGACAACAAGGTTCAACAATTATGGAACATCTAGCTACACAACGAGTGTAGACCCAAAGTTTGATTAACACCTGATTCAATGCAGGTTGACTTTCGCGCTTGGAGTCGGGTCAGCAGCGATTCCAAACCAAGCAACTAAAACACACTTGGCTAGCTGCTAGCTCTGGGTTCCAAGTTTTGAGCCTTAGCTGGGCCTTGCATTTCCACAACATTCAGAACAACCAGACGTGGGCAGGTATGTGAAAAGATCTTCTTGAGGCACGGCCGCTGAGTGAGGTTTGCTGCTACCAAATACCAATTCCAAGTGGTAGCCTGGTATGGCAGGGCTCCTGGGCTGGTAAACGGTGGAGGCTTCGTGCTGCAGTCTGAAGGCCCAAAAGGGCAGCGACAAACCACTACAACGAACGGCGCCAGCTGTACAATGAACTGACCACTCGAGTGATTCCCAATGCCCAAGGCAGTCAAGAAATTGCAACTCAAATCCATCATCAAGAGTTGTGCGCTGGCAACGAGGAGGGGTGACAGCAAAGCTTTCGGTGTATGCTGCGTTTGTTTCTAGTTAGTTTCTTATGTTCGAAGGAAGTTTAGAGTACGAAACTTGCGTGTTACGGACATTCAAGAGCCACTCATACACCACTCATCAATACACCACTCATCATACACCACTCATCATACACCACTCATCAATACATCACTCATCATACACCACTCATCAATACACCACTCATCACGCACCACTCATCATACACCACTCATCAAACACCACTCATCATACACCACTCATCAT